GGGTGGTCTAAAAAATCAATACACACACCATTTTGCGGTCCCTCTATTTTGACACAAAGCCTGGCTTCACCTTGCGCCACACAAGCAAAGCAAGACTCGGGTCGGCATAAAAATGCATAAAAGGCTTCGCGGCAGCCCTCACAAGAATTTTGGTGTTGCGGCATGGTCGTGGCGCAACCTTGCAGCAAAGCGCAAAACAAGCTGCTTGCAGGGCATTCAAACCTTCGCCTCAAACGTGGGCGGCTGTTTGTAGGATGTTGTTGCGCCTGCTGCGTTTGCTGAAGACTCGGGGCTACACTGGATTCTTGGACATTGTTACCTCCCGGTCTTTGCACTTGACAGCTCAATCTCATCTCCCGTCATGGCGACTTAAGGTCGACAGCAACGATTCAAGATCGAGGTACATGCGAATACCTTTACGCAGAAGAATGCTCCCCGACAAATGGATGCCCTACTTTCACGAGCCTCTGAAATGCCGCGTGGTTCTACTGCACTGGAAAATGGGGAACCCATTCAAGGGCTGTCATGTAGGCGTGCCTCGGTTTGGAATTGAGAGAGTTTAGGGTTTGGACATGCTCTGCAGCAACCTGTGGATTCATCAAATGAAAGCCGCTGAACGTCGAAACCGCGAACCTTTTGTACGCCGGTCAGGTCAGGTCAGGAGCGGGACCATGTTCCCTTTCACGGCCGCCAACTAGAGGCATCCTCCATGCCACACAAAAAAAGGGCCTGGTGGCACGGGGCACACCAGAAGTGCTACCCACAAAGGTTGTTACTTTGCCTAACGAAACTGTAGGACCTGACTGGTTTTGAGGCGACTCGCCATCTAGCTCGCATGGATCTTGTCCAAGGCGCTTGGCCTTGATGTCAAACTCCGGGTTTGTGTACAACCTCAGCGCGCGGGGGAAGGGATGGGATGGGTGATGGGAGGTGTGGGGGGTTGGGGTGGGGTGTGGGGTGGGGTGTGGTGGGGTGGAAGGTGGGGTGGGGTGGAAGGTGGGGTGGAAGGTGGGGTGGGGTGGGGTGGGGTGGGGTGGGGTGGGGTGGGGTGGGGTGGGGTGGGGTGGGGTGGGGTGGGGTGTGGGGTGGGGTGGTGTGGTGTGGTGGGGTGGGGTGTGGTGTGGTGTGGGGTGGGGTGGGGTGGGGGCCTCACAGTGCAGAAAAAGGGCGCAAAACAACAAGACACGCATGTTGGCGAAGAGAGCGCCAGTCTAATCCCCTTTGCGAAACATGGCGCTGAAACATGTTTAGAACCCAACCGAAACCGGTGCCGTCCATTTCAAACAAACAAACATACGAGGATACCCAGAACATGCGGGGCCTTCGTGCCTTAGGCAGCAAGCGCTCAGCTCGCTGCGAGCATTCGAAGCCCAGCATATGGGGTAAACGGTCGCGGGCACTCCAAATGGTTGATGTTCTTTTATTTGTCCCTCCAAACCACCCACAGACACCCAATATGCAAACCGCAGAGTGAGCCTCATACAAGTGAAAGGACCCAAGCGGCACGCAACAAGCAAGATCTAGCGCCTGTCTCATGTGGTGTCTCCCCGGTGGGCCACCAACACAGGGCGTCGAACTGCATTGCACGCCCCGAAGCTGGATGAGCTCATAGTGGTGCTTCGCACTTCCTGGCAGGGCCAAGCAGCGGAAGCCGCGGCGAAAAGTGAGAAAACTTGCCCGACTGGAAACACGAGGGGGCCATCCAGTATCAATTCGTCCGAAAGGACCCACCCGCCCGGGCCTTTGAAGAGACACCGCTGGATCTTTGAGAGAAGAATCATCCTCGCGGGCAGAAACACGACTCTCAGTGCGTATTGCCAAAGGAACATACTAATAACACATGCGCAAGTCGGCCACGCGCGCAGTCTACGCAGGGGGGCTTCTATGTCCCCGAAAATCTCCCCAAAGAGAAAGTCAAGCAATTACAAACAGCCCTTCCCAATGTCGATCTGCTTAAATCAAGATGGAACATCCAAGGACCGGCAAGCATTTAAGGCTCCTATGGCCCTATGGCCACAACGGAGGCGGAAGAAAGCATATGTTTCGCACCAAGCATGAAGTATAGTCACCCATGGGCCAGCTCCGTCCCATCGGCAGCCAATACCTCGCCCCCATCTGATTGGGCATACCCTCAAAGCTGCTCCCAGGGTCATGAGAACTGTACTTACCAAATTAATGGTACCATGCAATAGAATTGAGTCATCTACTTTGGCGGGGAGAGGGGGTGGGACTTCTTCGAAGCCCCTGACAAACAAGTTCATGAATTGAGAAACGTAGCTAGCCCCCGGCTGCATCGTGGAACGCTCACCATCAATTGCTCTCTAAAAGGCAGTCCCGTAGCTCCACTAAGGCTTTGCTAATTGCGTGCCAAGCTTCGTAATGGTAATCGCAGGCGGCGTGATCTCAGAACAGGCAGGCAAATACTCAGCCAACTCCACGCACTTCAATTGGCGGCTTCTCAAGCTCGAGAATAATTAGGTTTGCAAAGCAGGCAGGCGCCAGGCGCTCAGAGCAAAAAACGGACCGGTGCACAACTACTTGGGATGGAGGGGCTGGACAAAACGAGTGCCGTTGGACGGCAACAGATTCACAAGGTTCAGCTTGGCCAACCTCTGGGAATTCATCGCATCGCAGCTGGAAACATTCCCACTGCACCCCACTCAATTATCACCAGAGTAACCAGTTGAAACCTGTGAACTGAGCAGATGCCTGCCAAAAACTGGGATGCCTTCAGTGCTCCTTTCAGAGGGAAACATTCTTAGAAGGGATTCTTGAAGGTTTCTGAGAACCTGTCTAGGGGGCAGCGGGTGGGCCCTCATCTCCCCCCCGGCACAAACCGATGCACTTGTGCCAAAGCACCATGTTCAGCAGCATGTTGGTCATGATCGTCGCGCCCACGATTACGTACCTCGGCTCTCAGAATGAAGACCATCTTTGCGGCCACATGCCCCATCCAGCCGGAAGCGCCTCGCATTGTTTCCTCCGCCCAACTTGCCTTGCGTCTTCCCTCCGGGCGGAAGCAGGGCCGCCTCTTCAACCCGCAGGGGCTACGGCAAAAAGGAACGCCAGCTGCCATGGTTTTAGGCGACCCCCCTCCCCCCTCTTTGCTTCATTTATTGGTCCTGGCATATATTAAGCATTGGCTACACAAGAGGAGTGACAGCATGACCCTCGTGCCCCTGGTCAGAGAAGGAGGTGTCCAGTAGGCCGCAGTTGATGCCTTTATTTGTGTTGGTTCATGTTGGTCTTTTCTGCTCGCATGCGCACGGTGCCAATTCAATTGTCTCAATCTTTGCCCTGCTTAATAACTGAGCCCATGGTGTTGCCTCTGCCGAAACGAGGCATGCGCTTTGCGGGTCATTGCGGGCATTTCTGTCTGCACACCGGCAAAGCTGCTCGAGGTCCAAAAAAGAGATCCAAAACCAGCAGAACGATTGGAGGGTTCACCCATCACCACTCAAGCGACTTGTTTCTGCCAGCCTACTTCTCATGCCACGAAACACCAGCTCAGTGGCTGCAGGTTTCCTTAAGCTTTGGACCAGCGGCCAGGCCATGGGAAGAGAGGCCGTTTTTTGTTTTTTTTTTTGGTTGTTGAGACCCCTTGAAAAATATATATTTCCAGTAGTGATATTTTCCATTTAAGCCAACAAGGGAAAATACAAAAAAAAAAGCAAATGGAAGCATGGGACCTTCCCAAAAGGACTCCGCACAGGTTTGGCCAACTCCCGCCCAGGCGCCATGCCCGGGTCAAGTCCTGGAAGGGACCCCGGAAGAGGAGGTTCCCGAGCCCCGGGATGATTTGCACGAAGCTGCGCCTGGGATCACGGGCAGGGTGCGTGTTCTTTGTCCAAGGTATGGAAACAACAAAGCGCGTTTATGTCTCCCCCGAGACCATAGGCGACTGGATATTTGAAGGTATACCTAAGCACATCTGGCTGCCGGTTGGCGACCGGAAGCCGCAGGGCACCGAGCGATTTGATGGCCAGTTGCACGTTGACCCCGGTGAAAGGTGAACGTCAAACACGTGTACCGTACCAGCAAGCTTGACCCGTGTCGGAACCACAAATCCCCCCACAATGCACACCATGAAACAAGCTTCAAGCAAACCTGCAAGGAAGCTATATGGAACCAGTCGGGTTGTTGATCCCCATCACCCAGCCCAGAGTCGCCCAAGAACGCCTATGTTGTTTCTGCCGCCCGCTTCGCAACGAGATCTCGTCTTGTCCCTCGCGCTCCGTGGGCGCTTCATCCCAACCGCGGGCTGGCCGCAGCGCTCCTGCAATGGAAAATTGGGTGTGCCTGTTAGGACGCGGGATTGCGAAATGTTTGGGGGGGGGCCTTCTAGCTTCCTTTATAGAACAACTCCAATTGCATACCCTTCCCACAAAAATGGACCTACTAACATATGATACATACCCTACACAACCAGCACGTGGCTCACGCACGGCCAAACGGCGCGTGCTAAATACATGTTCGATTGGGTCTGTTCATCCTCGGCATTCTGCGCCACCGCCCCATTCTTCAAGGCGTGGGCGGAATCCGACGCAGGCAAGTGCACCTTAGTGACAGCAAAAGCGCCAAAGCGGAAAGATTATCCTTGATTGTCAGGACCTTCGAGGCATTGACCTTTTCCATGTCAGGACCTTCAATCACATTGAACATGCACAGGAAAGGCAAACGGAATACAAGTCACAGCGCAAGCCTGACACTGAGCAGCGTGGCAAGGATGTGGAAACCTTCTCAAACCCGCAAAACCGCCGGTGCTCAACGGCAATGTCACCCACATTTCTCTCAAATGGAAAGCTCCAGGCCGTTGTGTAACATGTATCATGGCTCCATTTTTTGGTGACCCGAGGTACACTGAAACTCAGTCCCCCCCTCAGGAGATCAACCAACCTTTTGTTCAAGTCTACCTTGGGGTTTGCTGCTGCTTTGGCCTTCAACGAAAAGCACCATGCTTCCTAGCTGCGATGTCACCTTCGCTTCTGCCCACGGCGGCATCAAGAAGGCGGCGGAGGGCGCGCTCGTGGAATCCTGGGGCATGTCGCCAGCATCCGCCTTCGTTTCGCCTTGCCTTCGGCATCGCTTTTTTTTTTGAATGCCCGACAACATTACCACAACTAGTGTGAGTTTTATTGAAGGACCCTTTGGCACGGACATAATTTTGCTCCCTGGAGAAAGTCCATAATATCCATAACGACCCTCTTGACCCTCACCGACTTCCTGTGCATGAACGAAATCCGTGCACGACTTGGAAACCATCGGAAGCCATTTTGCATTTGGTATACATCATTCCAAAGTTTCTCATGATGCAGGATTTAGTCCATCCACAGTATGTCTAAGCCAAGTGTCATAACGGTTGCAAATAGAAACCCCGAGTAAACAAAAAAAAGGCGCCTCAATCTTCCAGGGATGCGCGGCTGCAATTGCCTCACAACCCCTTAAGTTGGTCCATAGCTTTAGCTGGCAAGCCATGTGACACAGTGGGACATGCATGAAATCATCCACTAGCCATCGTGCATCATCGACTGGCCTCCCGCGAGAGATCTGCACGCCTTTTCTCTTGTGCTGCTCCTTCAAGGGCCTGAACTGGGGGACCCATGCCGCAACACCTAAATATGCAACCACGCCTTCAAAAGTGTTTGGCAACTGCCTGTGGCCAGTTTGCAGACAACTATATAACTTCCTTTCTGAGGGGCGCGAAGGCAAGTCGAACCTCCCCACCCATCCCCACCCACCCACCCACCCATCCCCACCCCCACCCCCCGCAGCCTCCCGTCCCCCAAAGCATGCCGAGCAACACGCGCAGGCGGCCCGGGTTGGGCGCCGGCACCGCTGAGGCCTTCAGCTCCTGGAGGCTCTGCAAGGCCGCGGTCTGCAGCGGCAGGCCATGGGCCCAGCGCTTGCGGAGGTGGCCCTGGCCGGTGATGATCTCCAGGCCTCAAGCCAACCGCTTCCCCCACCTGGGGAGGGGTGTGGGGCCTGTGGGGGGGTGTAAGGGTGGGGGCTGTTGGGGTGTGGGGTCTGTGTGGGGTGTGTGGCGTGGCCGAAGGTACCGTGCAACCCCAAGCCCCAAGCAAGCCCGGGCAACAGGGGTCCCGGGGTCCACATTGTTTGACAATGAGATGTGTAGAAACACACCATACCCTGGAAATCACCAGGTCGCTTGTCCAACTGAAAAAGGGTCTGCTTCAGGCAACTCGGGCATTGCAGCAAAAGGAAAAAAAGCGCAAGTGCCGAAGGACGAAAGATGGCAAAAGCAAGAACTGCCCCACCCCACCTGACACTCCTTCTCCATCCGGCCTGGTGGTGCCCTGTTTTTCCAGTAGCCCACCTCTCGCAGCCACCATTGCACCGCAAAGTGGGCTGCGCCCGGGGAGAGGTCATGAAGATCCAGCAGGTGCTTGCCCCGCCAGGTCAACCTCATGTTGGAATGTTTGAGCCCAGCGGCCGGGTTCTCTAAATTGCCTCTTGAAGCATTACCCCACCAAAAGGAGATACACTTGTCTTACAAGGTGAGCTTTAAACTAGCCAAGGGAAACATACGTAAGGTGGTTTTGCTCTGACTTTCCTTCAATACAGCCAAAGGAACCTGCTTCCCAAAACCAAGCCTAGAATGGATATCCTCAAAAGGCATGCCCAAATCCGTCGTCAAGGGCTTGAACCGCAAAATTGCAGTTGCACCCCAGTTACAAACCAGCGCGGTTCCCGCCAAATGGACGGACGGGAAGGCCCCACGCGCTCTTGAAGATACATGGGAGGCGTAAAATCAGGGCCAGCATCCAGACAGGGGAAAACACAGGTTGCCCCAAACTGCAAGACGCACTGGGATTTCATTTTATCAGGCGGCGACTACGCCGCAGGGAGGCCCCTTGCGAGTAACGGTATTTGAGGTCGGGCGCCGGGGCGCTATAAGGATCCTGAGATTTCAGCCAAGCCCCTCCAAAGGGTCGATTTGTTTTTGGTTGTCTTTGCAGCCACCCAAAGAGGGAGCCTAAGTTTGAGTTCCCAAGTTCAGGCTGCTTTTTGCTCCTGAGTTCGGCAGGCTCGAAAGCTATCTTGTGGTCAGGGAGCTCGGGAAAAACACATTTGGTGGTTGACAAGATGTGTAGATCACACGGAGCCGACGTTTAAACTCATCTAGGGGAAGGGAAGTTGAATAAGGCTAGCTCTTACTTCGCACCCGTTGGTACACGACAGGTTGCCTTGTAAAGGCCAAATGAAAAAGGAGGCACCTCTCGATCCTTTCATCTGCGCCCAGTAGCCATGGAAAAGCGCCTGCTTGCAGCGCTGAGCTGAAGATTGCCTTCGGGAAGCCCAAGAAAAAAACGCAGGGCATTTGAAGCACAAGGCAACTGAGTCACAACGCCTGGTCTCTAGTTTTAATACCCAAAGCCATGTAAAAGAAACCAAAAAGGGCGGCCCCAGCAAATTGTGGCTGGGATTGTCCCTTGCTAACGTCCAATCTACCCCGGCTTTGATCGTGGCTCAAGAATTGAGTTGTCCTTGTCTGCTGTGGTTGATAAGTTTCTGTGAAAGGGAAGGAATTGAATTCGGTGATTTGCTACCCGCGAGAAGGAACGTCGCCACTTTTGACAGCAGCCAAGCGATGACGCCGCAAGAAACCTGACGAAGCCGCAAGATCCACGAACACCAAGGTCCGCCAGGCCTACTGACATGGGCAGTCTTACTGGCTTCAGGGTCGCAGGATCCGGACAGCTCATCAACCAGTGCACTGATGCTTATGGCGCATCCCACGGCCTGCTGCTTCACAGAAACAATAAAGTGGCAACTGATCAGGCCTTCTGGGGTGGTCTAGGCAGGATTGTTCGTCCCTCATTCGTCTCAGTAATCGGTAGTGCAGTAGTGGGACCCACCACTACAATAAGGCAGTACCATCTGGCATAAGGATTCGGAATTGATTTGAACCAGAGATCTCTGCAGAAAAAGCCTTTCTGGGATTTGGCCTGTCCGGCCTCCCCAATGTCGTTCTGGTGCCGGCACGCATTCAGCACAGCATTGTAGGAGAGCCGATCCGCCTGCATGCACTTCTCCAACTCGCCTTGTCGAAAGCGCGAATCGTCGAATCGGACAACGCACGACCCTCCACCAACGTGGAACCTGAAAGGGGGCCTGGGAGACCATCTTCCTCTAAAAGGGAACCCTCTGGTGACCGCCATGTTAGACGGGAGGGTAGCATAGCCAACTGTCCCTTGGAAGTAGGCCTTGTCCTTGCTCCCAAGGCCGGAGTCAATGCGCTGACCACCGCTTTTGCAGCACTTCCACCTGGAACAACGAAACCGACAGCTGCTGATTGATGTTGAACCGCTTCAAGGCAGCAAGTGCCTCAAAACGTGAATTGACCTGACGAGGGGTCTTTTTGACAAGCTTCGACCAGGGGCTGTTCAAGAAGCTTTCACCGGGTCGTCTCTGCACGTGTGTGGGTGTGTGTTGTCTGTGTCTGTGTCTTTGTCTGTGTCTGTGTTCTGTTGGAAAGTACCCTCTTCAGGCTGGTGTACAGGAACACGAAATCACATTCTGTTTGGGCGTCCCCCCCCTTGACAGAATCTGGGTGGTAGCCCCCTTTGCCACTTTTTATAGGTTGGCTTCCCACAATTCCCCAAGCTTCCCTAGAGCACTGGTCACCCCAACCGTTCTTAGGGGGTGTCATGGGGTGTCCTTTCGACCCGTATCGTGATGCATACCCAGACCCCCCCCCCCTGCCGGCGCGGCGCGGAACACCGCCAGGCTGTGGCGCCAGCTGGCGCCGCAGGCCTCCATCGCCGCGTTGAAGCTCACGAGGTCCGGGGCCGAAGAACCCCGCCGCATCTCCTCGGGGGGGCGGTGGAGCGGGGTCTGAATTCCACCTCCCCCGCCCGGGAGACATGTTTCCACAAAACGTGCCCCAAGGTGGCTGTGGTAATTCCGCGTGGTTCCTCCTCAACCCCCAACCCAAGGTGATGTGTTTGATTCTGTTTGATTGCCCCCCCATGATGGCTGATGCCTTACAAGCAGGCCCTGAGCGGCCCAGGATTCAACGACAAGAGAGTTCCCGGGCCCTTTTCCAGGATCTATTTTTGGGGAGCGTTCGCAGAACAGCCCTGCCCTGGCCAGGCGCCAACCTGCAACGTTCAGTTGCTGAAAGTCGTGCCATCCCAGGAGTTGTTTCCATGGCGTCCTCTACTTCTTCTTTGTCCCTCGTACCCAGGAGCAACAATACATTGCTTAGGGGTGGGGACAGCTCATCGCACGCGGTTCGGCGCAAGAACGAATGCTGGGCTCGAAGCATGAAAAGGAACCAATCCACCGATGCTTGACACTGCCTTTAAATGGGGCCCCGAAAGGGCAATGCTCCTCCAAGAGCAGCAATGCAAGAGGCCAGTGCTGGCTCTTCTCGAAAGCGGTGATGGCGGCGTTGTAGATAAAGTGGTTTGGCGGAACCTTCATACAAACCCACAGGCACATTGACACACAGAAGCACGGGCACAGGCAGAGAAAGAGAGAGAGAGAGAGAGACACACCGAATAAGGGACAGGATGATAAGCTGCAATGACACTAATGAATGGGAAAAAAGGTGACGGTGTGGGGTTTGCCTATCCAAATCAACTGGAAAAGGAGGGGGGGGGGTTGGGAAGCCAACCTAAAAATAAGCAAAGGGGGGGGACAGGTTAGGTTTGCAGCCACTAGGGAGCCATGAAAAACCAACCTCGGAAGTGCCAAAGGGACGATTGCCCACATCTGCTTCAGGCCTCCTCCTGGCGCAACAGCGCCAGCGCCTGCTGCCACCTCTGCGCCTTGCCGCAGGCGCTCAGCGCGCTGCAGCACGCCACCGCGTCGAGGCGCCCTGCGAGTCGCGTCCCGCGAGCCTTTTGGTTTTGGGGGGCTGGCTGCACCACATCCATTTCGGAGGGAAACCAAAAGGAGGAAGTTCCAACAATGTGCTTTACCGACGCTGGCGGATCCGATTCCCCTCTAAAATGTTCTGCAGCACCCTTAGCAAGAAGAGACAGAGACCCACATGTGGCAGGTGGGAGGGGCTCACTGCCCTTACCTTGGATGCGCCTGTTGTTAAAGTTCGACAACGCGGGCCACAAGAAAATCAATCAGCTTCAGAGGGGGCTAAAAAAGCCACTCCAGCAGCTCTCGAATCACTTGGAGAGCAAAGACGGCCACCTTCCCTGTGCCGAAGGTGGCGCAAAAACGTACACATATTTACCAGTCCTGCCTATCTCCCTAAAACAATCAGGGCAAACTAGATCTGGAAAACAAAGATGTTGTTAGTCCTGTCCATCTCCAGCTCAAACCGGGCAAAGTCAGATTTCGCAAACGGAAGCCAAAGCTGGCCATCGCCTGCGTCTTGAATCTGGGCGAGCAGCTGCAATGCCTCCTAGCAGGCAGTTCACAGACTGTTGTTCAGCGACCCCAGCACAAGGGAGCCTATTTGGGGTTGGCCGTGTTGAGTGGGGGGGTGGGGGGGGGGTGGGGGGGCACCAAACCAAGAAGCGAACAAGGGATGCAACTGAACAAGTGCCTGGAATACTTGAGGGCTTTCAGTGATCTCAGCGCACTGCCCAAATCACGTGCTCCTAGCAGAATGGCCAAATTATGATGCCCCCTGGAAAATCCAATGTGCTGCAGGCAATCAGTTCTGAACATGGAATGACGCTCACACAGTTGGTGCTCGGTTTATGGGCTGATGAGCATATCCCAACGCAAACATCTTTCTTTTCAGTGCAGAAACTCCCGACAGCAATCAACGCCATCCACCACACACAGCAACAGAAACACAGAAACACGGAAACACAGAAACACACCCTCCCACCAACCCACCCACCCCCACCCACCCCCACCCACCCCCACCCCCACCCCCACCCCCACCCCCACCACCCCCACACCCACCCCCACCCACACCCACCCCCCACCCACCCACACCCACACCCACCCACACCCACACCCACCCACCCACCCACCCACCCCACCCTCCAACCCACCCACCCACCCCACCCCACCCCACCCCGCCCCGCCCCGCCCCACCCCACCCCACCCCCACCCCACCCCACCCCCACCCCCGCCCCCACCCCACCCCACCCCACCCACCCCACCCCACCCCCCCACCCACCCCACCCCCACCCCACCCCCACCCCACCCCACCCCCCACCCACCCACCCACCCACCCACCCACCCACCCACCCACCCACCCACCCACCCACCCACCCACCCACCCACCCACCAACGAATGGCCAAGTAATTCTGTAGGACCAGGCCCTTGGAACTTTGACACCAAAAGGAAGGCCATGTGGACCTTTTGCGTGATTTGCAGTGTGGCATCCACCATGCAGCACAGGCCCTGTACAGAAAGCTCAAGCCCAAGCTTTCATTCAGTGGGAGGAACGGATGCCCTCGGAATCCGACCCCATACCTTGCAGCCATCTGGTCCGGATTCCGAGGATGGCACTAAAGAGGGAATCCTCCTTCTGGGGTAACACCATATTCCACCAGGTTGATTTATAGGTTGCTATCCAGGCAACCAAACCACCAGGTTGGTTCCGGGCTCGACCTGAGAATGATTGCTGACGCCCCAAGCAGCCAGTGGCCTCTGACGCCCTTCCGCCCGCTCGCCTGCCAGAGGCTGCCCCGCTCACAGGCACAAATGCCAGCGGAGAGCGTGATGGCATTGGGCTGCAGCCGCCTGCACATTGGGATGCACCTTGCCCCGAGACATGCATGTAATCGTGGTAATTCCGACTGCCCCGCGAACTCCCAACTGCCCAGGGGTGATTCGGTTCATTGCTGGATGCGCAATCTGCCGAGCTGCCGGGTCTCCATCTCCGAGAAAAGCAGCAAAGCGCGCTGCCACCTGTGCCCGCCCACATGTGCGCAGGTGTGCGGCATCCGGGGCGCTAAAAATGGGGACCCCTGTTTTCACCCGGTTGGATTGGAACGAAACCTGGCCGGAAGAAAAGAAATAGACAAGGAATGTCCGAGCCTCTCTTGCAAAACAGCTATCATGGCATTTGAGGCCCACACCAGCCCTGCACACATAAACCTGACCTGAAACTCATCACGCTTGCAAAAACCATCTTCAATCCATAACGTTCCCTCTGGGGGCCTGTTGCACATAACCTGTTCGATTGGGGCATCTAGTCTAAGACCAGGACAAGGGTCCAGGGTGAACAGAAAGCCCTTTGACCGGTCAGGCAGCAACCCGGTCCCGTTTGAGAGCAAACTGAGCTGATTGGCAGCACGCACCGGGAAAGGCTAGCAACCGCTTCTGGCGGTGTCACAAAGGGGGCTGGAAAAATTATGTTATATACCTGCCCCGTGTGACTATTGACAATCATGGTGGCTGCCCTCACTAACATGGCACCTGACCGGGGGTCGCTCCAAGCTGGCACTGGTGATAGGTTCGAAGGAGGAAGTGGATGTAGAAGACTGAGCGCTGGCTCTAGCAAATATCGCCCCAACACCGGCCAATGGATTCAAGTCACGCAAATGCGCTGGACATACAGACTTTAAGCCTGCACATGTTGCCAGCTGAGGGGTGCATGTTTGGTCTGCCACCAGCATTCCTCAAGCTCAAACAGATGCATCTGTCAGCTTTGAATCCCCCGCATCTCCGGGCTACAGGCAGCATGGCAAAAATGTGTTTCCCGGCAGCTCTCAAGTGACAAAGGAACAATGAGATGTTTCGGCTGGTCACATGGCCAAGTCGGCCACGCCCTCACCTGCTGCCTTTCTGCCTTGGCGCTGGCTCGACCGTGACAGGGTGCTGATGGCACTCCCAAAGAGAACGGTGTCCTTGGCCAGTGGACATTGCGGTTTCTCTGATCGAGGTTCAACGAGGCTTGTGATGTCCGAGATTGGGGGGTGCAGGGCAGGGCTTGTGGAAAGTGCTGGGCCTTCCCACGGGGCTGAGCAAACCCTTTTGCACCTATCTTCCCACCAAACAGAACCTCATGGTATTTTCCAGCCTGGCACACAAAGGCAGACCGACCGACCGACCGACCAGCCAGCCAGCCAGCCAACCAACCAACCAACCAACCAACCAACCAACCAACCAACCAAACAACAGGCGAGCCAATGGAATAGGACATACAGACTGCCTGCACATGTTGCCAGCTCTTGCATGAGGGGTGTATATATATATATATATGTTTGGTCTGCCGCCAGCTTTCCTCAAGCTCAAACAGATGCATCTGTTAGTTTTGAATCCCCCGCACCTCTGGGCTACAGGCAGCATAGAAAAACATGTGTTTCCCAGCAGCTCCCCGTGACAAAGGCTATCCAGCATGAAGGCAAGTCAAGAAGGCAAGAACGCCGGAAAAGTATAGGCAGGCTGTCCCCCATGAGCAAAGCATGAAGGCAAGTCAAGAAGGCAAGAACGCCGGAAAAGTATAGGCAGGCTGTCCCCCATGAGCAAAGCAAGAAGCTATGCGAAGCAAACCACTGGCGCGCACTGGCATTCCAAGCACATATGACTCTGTCGCACACAATCAGCAAAAGCTGCACATCTCTCATTGCCAGCCTCCAGCGTGCAATCGGAATAGTTGAGAGCAACAGGCATGGGGATGAATGCATGAGCCACGGGCATGGGGATCCAGTGCCCAACGCACAACTGAGTGAAACGAATTGCCAAAGCAAGTCATGCAGCGAATTTATCACAAATAGTTCCAACGAAGGACCTAAAGCAAGTGATCACTCTGGAAGTTGCGCAAAAGTCATGGCACCCCACGCGCCAATGCATGCAACTGAATGCAATCAAGGTGAAAACCCGTGAAAAGCTGCCGAACTCAATGAAAGGCCACAAGGAACTGATGGAAACCCTCGGAACCTAGAGGAATCCAGCGCAAAGCTCTCCCTGAAAACTGGAAGACACTGGGTCAGACACCCGCAGCATGCTGCCCCGTCCCTGCAGTGCAGGCGAGGCTCTGGCTGCACCTCCTTGAGGGCCTGCCACAGCAGCGCCAGCTGCACTGGCCAGGGCGCCGTCAGGGAGCTATATGTCACCGCATCCGGCCTCATGTTGGGGCCAGGCGCAGCTCACGACGTTTGCTTAGACAGTGGAAGCAGCAACAGGCGATAGCGTGCTTCTCGCGGAAGGGGGGAAAACGGTGTAAAACACCCACACTCCGCCCCGGTGCCAGAAAAGCCTGACAGGACCTTGGACCTTCCACAAGCGTCCCCCCATAGAGCGGCGCAGTTGCCCGATGTAAAGGCAACCTTTGGGCTTTTGCCAACTCACCAAGACTTGGGGAAAACAAAAAGGGGGGAGGTGGAGTAAGCTGAACTGGGGCATGGCCGAAGGCCAAGGCTGATGGCCGAAGGCCGCGCTGGCTGGGCTTCCCGCCGGCACGGCATTCGCGCGAAGAGCGCCAGGCCCCTCTGCCAGGCAGTGCCCAGAGCGCAGGCGCCCACTGCGGTGTTGAAGGAGATGAGGTCTGGGATCAGCTTCGGTGCCTCCGAAAAGGGCCACAAATGGCCATGGGTCAAAATCCCGTACCCCCAGTGAACACCCCAATCCACACTAAAATAGACTAAAATGGGTGGCGCACCTACCCCAGAATGATACCATTGGTTTTGACCCACAGCCAAATCAAGACAGGAGAGCCAGGGGAAACGCCCCACAGGCACCAGATATGGCAGGTCGGCGGGTCGGTCGCTTGATGCGCCTCTTGGAGATGCCGCAGCAGCTGCAGGGCCCAAACCCACTGTGTGGCCCGACGCATGGTGCTCATGGCCACGTTGAAGAGACACACCTCGGCGTTCAAATGGAGGAACCCTTCTCGCTAAGACCCTCTCAGGGTGCATGCTAGCAGGAGGTACGTGACGCCTCTTGCCAACCTTGACCTTGTCAATGACAAATATCTCGGCATCCCCCCAAAAACCGAAAGCATATGCCAGTGATGATTGAGAGTCTTTGGGTGCATGTCAATGTGCCCACTTGTAGCCCGGAAGAAATTGCAGTCACCGCGGTCATGTGGGACACGCTTTAATGGCAGTAGACTGTATTGTGTAAAGGTGTTTCCTCATTCAGGATCGCTGGACTGTTTTGGAGTCCTCTAGTGTGGCAAGTTTCTCCCCCAAAACAAAATCCCCAAAAAGAAATGCCAGGAAAAAATCCGGAGCAAAAACAACTAGCAAAAGAAGTCTGGCAAACAAATCCGGGCAAACATTAGGAAATCCTTCTTTGAAATGGTTCCCAAACCATCAAATTCAAGATAACTTCTCTACAAAATTTGAGGGCAAACATTCGCAGAAAGGGGGGTGCTGAAATTCTCAAATTGAAGCCTTAGCCTTTTACATTACAAGGGTGATTCACCTAACTGAGCTCTCACCAGCTCAACGGGTAAAGGCCTTGGATCAAGGACATCAATTTTGCCAGTGGCCCGCAAACTATCACATTTAAGATAACGTCTTTACAAACAAGTAAGGGCAATCATTCGCACAAAGGGAGGTGCCCACAAGAGGCCCCGATCCTCTTTCATGCGACTGTTTTGGGGTCCTCTTTAGTGTCCAACTATTTTGGGGGGTTGCTGGCAAAACGGGCCTTGGCCACTTCTTGTTTTCCGTTGTTTGATTTGTTTTTGTGCTTTTTTTTGGGTTAGAACCTCCCCAAAGAGAAACACCTCTGCCAGGTTTTCCGGGCATCGCCCTGGGACCTTTCCATGGGCCCCCGGCATCCGGCGCCCTCACCTGGCGCAGCACGTGGAGCGCCAGGTGCCACCGGCCGCCCACGGCTTTCAGCAGCGCCGCGGCACCGAAGGCATCCGCGCGGCTCGCCAAGGCCAAGGCCTGGCGTCACCCCACACCCCGGGCCGCGGGGCCCGGAAATGGCCGAGAAAAACGCCCCCTGCGCCCCCGATCTCCAAATAGGTGAAACCAAGGAAACGCCAACTCCAGGCATCCGCACATAAAATGCTCAGTGAGCTCAACTCATCTCAACTCTTGCTGCCCTAATTTGACGTGTCAAAGTTGCGAGGAGCCTGCAGCGCAGGAGCGACCACCAACCTCCATTGGCAAAAACCTGCTGCAAAGTCAGCAGTTCTGCCTCCTCATGTGAACCCTTGACACGGGCTCGCGCTTCTACAACCGTCCATGCAATATACAAACCGAATATCAACCACCTCCCCACGCCATGCAGTAGTCCGAAGCTTGATAAGTCTTGCTTTGTGGCCCACCGGGCCGTGTCACTCAGCCGATTGGTCGTGGAGGTTCGGGCTTTTGGTGCTTGAAGTCATGGGAAAACCTTGGAAAATAAGGGTTTCTTCCAAAAAATCAGCCCCTTAATTATTTGGCGATTTTATTTTTGGATTTCCCTCTCTCTCTCTCTCTGCCGTTGCGTCCAGAGGGTCTTGACTCAGCAAGGCAGCGAAAGAGGTGCCCACTGATATTCAGGGGCACCAACAACATTGGATTTCCCGTAGAGCTTAGACTTCGATCCAAAGAAGCCCACAATGAGCCTGCTGCCACTGGCGCGCAGCTGCACAGGCCCCGATGACGCAGTTCACGGCCACCTCCAATGAAAAGGTCACAATATCCCCCTTACCTTCAGGGGGAGGGGGGTGGGGGTCCGGGACCCAGTTCCATACATCTACTGCATATATGTATACATATATATATATAGGGGAAATGGAACCACAAATGGTCGGTGATAAAATGGCCATCCAAGTCCAACTCATGTCTGATCCTGCAAGCCAGCCGGATTGGTCCTCTTCTCATGCCCTCTCTTTTCTTCAGGGGTCACAAAATGAGCGTGAATTTTCAATAGGGGAATCTCAGGTGGACATCATTTAGGATAGGATTTAGGTCCACCAACCGCTTTTGATGGGGCGACCGGCTTGCCTATCCATCAAATGCGCGGACCCCTTTTTGGACAACCCCCACCTGGTCGTTTGACGCTTCGCTGTCAAACAAGTGCACGGCCTGCTGCCAACGTCTCTTCCTTGGACGCTCGCGAGGCATTCGCAGGCGTGCACTTCCAACACTCCGTTCTGTAGATGCACAGTACTCATGCTAGCAGGAGTTGGGGCTGGGCATTGGCGGGGTGCCCTCACCTACAGTTTGGGGATGGGGGTGGCGATTCAGGTTTCAGGGTGAGGGCGAAACTTCGGGTTGCGGGGGGGTTGACGCGGAAGCGAGCTACAGCGAGCAAGCGGGTTCGGGTTTGGGGGGGGGTTGCCAACAATCGATGCAATATGCCGTTAATACACATGCAACGCAACAACGCCTAGAATGTAAGTGGGTGTTTCCCTTTCTCTCCCAAAAGGGCCAACAAGGTTTGCCCAAAAACCCTACCCAATCATTTTAAGCCTCTCCAAACCTCCTCTCCCCCTCGCCCCGATTGAAAGTACCCCCCCCTTTTTGCTTAGCATTTGCTAAGTCTGTTCTCAAACCCACCAATACTAGACTACTGTTGAAGCCCTCAAGTTCTCAAAAAAGAAAAAATTGGCCTCCATTAACATGGATTTGTCTTACTAAAGGTTGTTAAAAATGACAAGGTGGCCAAGCTCGCAAAGGGGACCCCCCCGCCGCTCATTAACAGAAGCTCCCCCCACCCAGCGATTCATCAGGGTTGTTTTTGGGCTCAAAACAAACCTGATGTCGTTCAAAGTCCTATTGCCCCCAACAGGAGAGAAAGCAAAAACTGAAGAGCCAGATTCATTTGGGGGCTTGTCCCAGACCTTGAAGGGGGGCCCCTTTACAAATCAGGGGAACCAGTGCAGAAATTATCCCAGTGAGACTGGCAAAAAGGGCTTTTTCAATTTTCCCTTGTGATTTCATGTTTTGGCCGGTTGCGGTTGGTGCTTTTCTGGTGTGATATGTTCGGCTTGGACAAGGGAACCCCTGCCCTCCCCCCACCCCCCCGCTCCCCCCAAGCCGTGGGGCCGGCTGCAGTCCTGCAGCGCCTGCCGCAGGCTCCGCGCCATGGCGCCATGGCGCCATGCCAGCGCGCCCAAGCGCTGACAGTCCGGGATGGACACGGAGGAAAAAGCAGTTGAGACTTTAAGTTTCTTCCACTGAAATATGCGAGTTGCCTTCTTGTTGGGGGGGAGTGGTCAAGGGCCTTGCTTGCACGTGCAAATGAAAAAATGAGAGTTGGATCCAAGAATGAAAGGACCTTCATGGTGAGCTCGCCATACAATAGGGCAGAACTAACACAACTCTTTTCGGGGTGGGGGGGCGCCTGCTTGGGGCTTGTCTGAAAATTAGGGACCGCCCCAAGATGGTTGGTTGTCCTTCGGTGTCCCTTAAAAATCAAGCCCAAAGAAGGGGAAACGCAAAAGCTTGACAAAGGGGTTGCATTCTTGAATTGCATTCAAAGCTCACAGCAACTGACGTTGCAATGATCTGCGTTCCAGGAAACACAGGGTCCACCTCTAGACGGGCACTGAAATGCCTCCCCACCCAAGTCCGAAGAAAAAAAACGCTTCGCGCAAAACAGCTAGCCCCATACCATTAAATGCCCCCAGAAGCATGGAACCTTCCTGGGTTCATCTGCTCGAACCTCGCACTCCGGCAGTTTCGTTGTCCCCCCCAACGAACTACAAACACGAGGGGCCATCCACAGCGCGGGCTGCCGGGCATGTGCCCAGCCTTTGTTTCGCATGGAAAAGCTGACACGTCCAGCCCTTTTCTGACTCTGACATGATTCCAACACGTTCTCAGACCTGTCATGAACCGGCAGGTGGCAAGCCACTGATAACTCCAGACTACCCAACAGAGCGAGCCAGACTCGGCAAACACAAAAAGGGAGGTATTTGGCCCCTCGTGTGCATTGGGCCAGGCCGAAAAGCCGGCAGACCTCGAGCAAATCTACTCCTGCCATTAGCCAGCTCAACTGCTCGGCTGCAGTGAACGCATGGGATGGCACTAGTTCTAGAGGCAATCCGGACAAGGGAATAGCAATCCAGTCTTGTCCTCAGCGTTCTGCTGAAAGCAAATCACAATGCCCAGGGGATTTGTTCACAACGTGTTCAGAGCGCAATCCCTTCTTCCTAATAATAAAGGCCTCCCCAATAATAGACAATACTTTTGGGTTGTATTAAGGGGGCTCCCGTTTATTTTTAGGGGAAGGGATTCAACCTTCAGTTTATCCCAAGACTCCCTGAGGAGTTCACGCTCCAATGCTCCAGGGCACAACGCGTCTGGCCCGTAGGTGTTCACGACGAAGAGCACAAAGCCTGAGCATCCGGGTTTCAATGGGCAGATTGAGAAGGCCGCTTCTGAAAGGAACTGGGGAGGCCGAGAATAGAACAACAAAACATGTTTGAAAGGGAACGACCGGCCTGGTGGCTCAGGTAGTTCGAAATAATTACATGCCGGACAGCCGACCGTGCTTGCGAAGCCGAGAAAATACAGGAACGGTGCCTGGATTGCGATTTATTCTGGCATCCGTCAAAATTTGGGGGTCACATACCCATCTTCGTTCGTGTCGCATTGTTGTGAGGAAGCCTTGCGCAAGTCATGCGTCATTTCGCGCAGTGATGCCTCCCTAGTCCCCCTGCACCGCCCCTCCCAGTCACCCTTGGGCACTTTCGTACCCCATGCAGCCTATCACTTTGATTCGATTCCCTACACGCCGGCCCGCATCCTCACCGCTTCTTCCATTGGGCCATGCAAATGCTGGAGCCCAAGGTCAATGCAAGGGCCTCTCTTTGAATGAATGAATGAATACGTTGCGTGAATAAGGATGTCTTCCGCAAACACATTTGGCCCCTCGGTTAGAACTCATGACATCATATGTGGTACCGGATTCAAGTGTATGAACTGGCCAGCCATCCAACCAAAGCCGAGGTTACATGAGAAAGCCAAACCTGCATGCTGTGCCATCCGGGCTTGCTTGGAGTAGAAGCGGAAGGAGCGCAGCCCGCTTTGAGCGCGGCCAACAATGTCTGAAGCTAGCAAAAACTTGATCACACCATGCACCCATAACACGGGCACGTGCACATCAACTCAAGATGAACCAGTAGCAGTCAATTGCCAGCGGTGGCCATGGTTTCGGACAATTCCCATTACCATGTCAAACCCCCATTGCCTCGAGATATGGGGCAAGCCAACCAGTTGTCAACTTTGACCACCTCTGGGGGTAAACCCGGCCCAGCACGAAAGCATAAGGCGCCTGTGTTTAGGGTCTGCGACAAGAAGATCTTCTGCATCATGGACTGGTTGAGGGCGGTGATGGACAAGGGCCGCTCAAAGCGGGCCATGGCAATCAGAACCTCAATCTTTGCCCCCAGCGATGCATTCCCCTGACATGACTCGCCACGCACTTTGCAAGGACAATCTGTGTTGGAGCCTCTCCTTCAGCTGGACCCCCGACCTGCGTGGAAACTAGCTCGAAATTGGAACCCCTGCTCGCAGCAAGTTTGACAAGGCACGCAAAGTCGCTTGGGCTCCAATACCAAGCTGTACTAATACCAGGACCCACCCTCTCTGCCCTACTACAGTTGCAATCAACGCGCTGACAAAGCGACCCTTACTTGCAGTAACTTTCTGCAAGCTCACACCTTGCCCAACTCAATCTAATCTGCACTACGTACCACTTCTAAATTCGAAATAAGGACGCCTTCCCCAGCCATCATCATGAGCTTGCTTTGCCCCCGGTCGGAGGCGCGCTAGAAGTTGTGGCAGCAACCGAGGCCGACACCCACTGCAGGACCAGGTTGATAACTACCACCACGCACGAGGCCGCTGTCATGATGCCTGGCGCACCAGCTCAATGCATTTGCGGCGAATGGACGCGTTTTGGTTCCCCTCCCTGCCAAAACAGTTGATTCTCATCTCCATGACTTTGTCTCTAAGGGAGAGCGAGTGAGAGATGGGAAGCCAACAGGAAAAGATTGAACAGGCCAATGGGCCAATGGAATCCATGTTTGGAGGCATAGATGTGACAAATCACAAGTTGGAACTGCAAAGATCCAAGGCGCGCAGGGCATCCATCCGAGGCCAAACAGGTTCAGCCTTTCAAAAACGGACACCGCCGGCCAAAGTTGGATGCCGCACGCGGCCATTGCTCGTTGAGACTTTGGACTTGGGGTGCTTCAACGGGGCTTCTTGAAGAGCTCCACGTCCTCCATAAGACACTGGGAATGAGCAACTCCGATTTCGTATCCCAGCGTTTGGTGATTCAATCCGATCAGGCCACATATGCCATATGTGTCTGAGAGACAATAGGAATGTGCAAATTGAGCAACTCTGGATTTCGGGGGAAAAACAGCGTATGGTGATTCAAGCAGGCCACATATGCTACATAGTGCAGGTAAATCAAGAAAACAACGCGCGAATGCGAATGCCAGGGCCAAAGACGGGTAGCAAAGCTGCTTAATCTCCGTTGGATCTTGCCAAAGCCGTTGGTAGATGTGGCACACCAGCACGCCAGGTTTCCGAAGGGATCTAGCTTCGACTCAGCCTGAACTTTGCTGCGGCAACAAGGGCCCTGCAAAACTCAATACATCTCAATACGTTCTCCACACCCGGGTGGTTGCCTCCAACTTTGAACAAGAATTGAAGGTTCCCCCCCCCCGTCCACTAACATGGAAACCATCAAAGGCGCTATCTTGTTTCAGCAAAAACGGTCTTCAGTGAAACTGTCCGAGGTCATGCATGGCAACGTGGATTGTGTTTTTGTTGTTTGGTCCAGCTGGTCTAAACAGAGACCAGTTCTCTCAGTCATTTACACTCTTTGGGCCCCCATCTTCCCACCCACTGCTTTGGCTGCTTGCTTTCTGTGGTGCCGATGGATTTCCCCAAGTTCAGCAGCCAGCCGGTGCACGTTTTGAGCATCGTGGTGTCCTCAGCCATCTTCGCCTTGATGCCCGGTTGCCCCGTGGGGTGTCAAAGGAGCCCCGAGGGCAAACCACCCAAAGGTTCGGGTGCCGCGCAGTGTTGAGTGTTCCAGTGTCAGTGTGTCGAGTCGCGAGTGTTCAGTTTTTGAGTTCTGGTTCGAGATGGAATCATTCTGAGGGGTTGACTCTAAAGGACCCCTGGTTGGAGCCAAAGCCCCAGAGCCCCCAGTCCCGAGTGGCCCGAACGCTCGAAGAAGAATCGGAATTGTGGCTTTCGGGGGTTGGCTACCTGTGCAGTAGGCCCAGCAAATGAGAAAGGACTTCAAAGGACGCCACAGAACAAACTTGGGGAACCTTGGGCACAGGGTCAGGGAAGCTTTGCTTAAAGAACGGGATGCAAAGCGCACATGTCTTTTGCCCCCGAGATTGTTTCTTTTGCAGAGTCAATGCCAGGAGAACCCTGCAGCTACAAGCTCCCGTTGCCAAAACATGTCGCGGAATTTAGGTGTGTGTGTGTGTCCGAAATTAGAGAGACCCAATATGTCTTATAAAACATGCGCTGGCAGTCAACGTGTTGGCAGCTCACAGACCACCATATCTTGTCCAAACAGCACGTCTTTTGCGGGCTCCAATTCGGCCTCATTAGCCAGCCACACTGGGATTTTCTGCAAGATGAGCATCAATCATTCTGGTGTGGCTAAGGCGCTCAGACATCAAAACGGAATTTGTTGAATGACTTTCTTTCTTGGACTGCGTCGGCCTCGACGTTCCACTGTCTTCTTTTGGGGATACCCCTTTTGGTGTAATTTGCGCTTGCCCCTTCCTCCCCTTCCTCCCCACCCCTTCCTCCCCGCCCCTTCCTCCCCGCCCCTTCCTCCCCGCCCCTTCCTCCCCGCCCCCGCCCCCCACCCCCCCCCCCCATGTGTCCGAGAGCTTGGCTTCAAGATGCAGATAAACCTTGAGGCCGGGCTCAGGATTTTCGGGACTTGGGAATCGCCACCATCATCATCACCACCACCACCATCATCATCATCATCATCATCATCACCATCAGCGGCAGCATCATTATTGCCATCACCACCAACATCATCTGATGACTGATTGGGCTTCGCAGCAGCCCCTCAAAGTAGCCAGAAGACAAC